GCATTGTTAGTTTTGCTAGATGTTATGATTTCATGGTTAGTTGAAGAATGTCATTATTCTTACAGATGCATGCTGAAGAATTTGAGAAGTGTGATTATCCATAAATGTTCAATTAGAAAACTACATATCAATGTATAAAGTTAATGAAGCAATGTGAGCTGATGAACATAGGTGGTATCATTTGTGTTTGCTGTAGTATTTATTTAATACAAAATTACCTAGGGTTTGGGGTATAGCTCAGTGATACAGCACTTGACTAGCATGTAAGAGGCCCTTGTTCTAATCCTCAGCACTGCAAAAAGAGGAAGGATGGAAAAATGGAAGGAAGGTTGGAAGGAAGGACGGAAGGGAGGGAGGGAGGGAAGGAAGAAATTGTCAAAGATATAGAAAATCTATATAGGGAGAAAAAAGTGAGTTCTTGGAATTCTCCATCATCACTGAAGAAACAAGCTATGGGAATAAAGCAGATCCCTTTTAAATTGAGCATTTGGGCATTCAAATGTTTCTGAAATTTGTAAAACATGCAAAATGCTTATGTTATAAACTGAAGTACAAAATATCAGAAGCTAATTTGCCTGTATATTAACTACCTGAAAACTTTTGTGACTTTTGAAAGTGTTTTTCTGAATTTTCGAAGCATGTTGTAACCATGTATTATTTTTATGTTGGCATAATATGAAACATTAACACCTCATTTTTCTATTCCAAATAACCCTACTTCTAATTAGATTTGTGTAGAGTCTCAGATAACACAATAAAAGTCTGGCACAAAAACTAACATGAAATGGACCACAGACCTAATAAAAGGAAAAATAATAAAACTAAAATACAGGAGAATGACTTTGCAACAGGCAAAATATCTTAGGACACACACGCAGCACAAACTATAAAAAGAAACATTGATAAGATGAACTTTATCCAAATTCAAAACTTTGCTCATTCAAACACTATGTCAGGAAAATGAAAGGATAAGTCACGACTGAAAGAAAATATTCATAATATAAACAAGCCTCTTAAATTTAAAGTAGTCAAGATTATTCCTCCATCTGTCAGGTGGACTCCTTTAACAACAGCCTACTGGTCTTCCAGCTTCCACCCACCCTGCAACTACTCTCCATGGGATATCGGACTGATTTTTAAACACAGGCACTAGGACAGGCTTCATAGTTAAGTCATAGGTTACTCGAAATATTTATGAAGTATCTATGTCTTGAGCACTATGTGCTGGACATTTATCAGTGGACAGAACAGAAAATCCTTTTGTTCTTATGGTGGGAATGATAAAACAGCTAAATAAGTTCATCTAGGGTAAGTGAAGAAAATAGAATACAGCCAAAAAGTAATGGGGGTGGGGGCAGGTCAGAGAATGCCTCGGTGAGGTCCACTTAAGAATGCTAATCAAAAGTGGATTAGCGAACGCGGTGCTGCACACCTGTAAATCCCAGCGGTTTGGGAGGCTGAGACAGGAGAACTGCTAGTTCAAAGCCAGCCTCAGCAATTGCGAAGCACTAAGCAACTCAGTGAGACCCTGTCTCTAAATAAAATACAAAATAAGGCTGGGGATGTGGCTCAGTGGTCAAGTACCCCTGAGTTCAATCCCCAATACAAAAAAAAAAAAAAAAGCAGATCAAAGACTTAGGCACTAGAACAGAGACCCTTTGCCTAATAGAAGAAAAAGTAGGCCCAAATCTTCACCATGTCAGCCTAAGATCTGACTTCCTTAACAAGACTCCTAAAGTGCAAGAAGTAAAATCAAGAATCAATAAGTGGGATGGATTCAAATTAAAAAGCTTCTTCTCAGCAAAGGAAACAATCAATAATGTGAGAAGAGAGCCTACAGATTGGGAGAAAATCTTTACCACATGCACCTCTGATAAAGCGTTAATCTCTAGGATATATAAAGAATTCAAAAAGCTTCACACACACACACACACACACACAAAAAAAAAAAACATAACCCAATCAATAAATGGGCTAAGGAACTGAACAAATACTTCACAGAAGAAATACAATCGATCAACAAATATATGAAAAAGTGTTCAACATCTTTAGCAATCAGAGAAATGCAAATCAAAACTACACAAAGATTTCATCTCCTGTCAGAATGGCAATCATCAAGAATACAGGCAACAATAAATGTTGGTGAGAATGTGGGGGGGAAAGGTACAGACAAAAAGGGACTGCAAATTGGTGCAACCACTAAGGAAGCAGTATGGAGATTCCTCAGAAAACTTGGAATGGAACTGCCATATGACCTAGCTACTCCACTCCTGGGTTTATACCCAAAGGACTTAAAATCAGCATACTACAGTAATACAGCCATGTCAACGTTTATAGCAGCTCAATTCACAATAGCTAAACTATGGAACTAACCTAAGTGTCCTTCAATAGATGAATGAATAAATTTTATATATATATATATATATATATATATATTTTCCCCCAATGGAATATTACTCAGTTTTAAAGAAGAATAAAATTATGGCATTTGTCAGTAAATGGAGATGGAGAAAATCATGCTAAGCTAAATAAGCCAATCCCACAAAACCAAAGGCCGAATGTTTTCTCTAATATGCAGATGCTAATTCACAATAGGGCGGGGGCACTAGAGAAGAATAGCGTTACCTCAAATTGGGTAGAGGGAAGTGAAGAGAGGGAAGGAGAGGGGATGTGGGATAGGAAGAATAGCAGAATGAAACAGACATTATTACTTTATGTATGTATGAGACTGCATGACCAATATGATTCTACAGCATGTACTCTCAGAAAAATGAGACATTATATCCCATCTATGTATATCAAAGTACATAAATGCATTCAACTGTCATGCATAACTAATTAAAACAAATTTTAAAATTTTCTTTAAAAAGAATGCTAATCAACCATGCAGGGGAAGCAGCAGCAAGTACAAAGACCTAAACTCAAGAATGAGCTTTTATATAAGTGACTGCATGACCAATGTAATTCTGCAACCTGTATACTCAGAAAAAATGAGAAATTATATCCCATCTGTTTTTCAAATGTATGATATGTCAAGATCATTGTACTGTCATGTGTAACTAATTAAAACAAATTTAAAAAAAAGAATTGAGCTTTTAATATGAGCAAAACAGGAAGTTAGCCAGCATAGCCAGAGCAGTATGTAGATGTGGACAGGAGATAGAAAATGCAACTGTAAGATGGGTGTGGAGCCTTTTGTCAAAGAAAGGAGTGTAAATTTAATTCCATGTATTTTAAGACACTGTGAGAGGGTATTAAGTGGGCAAACAACATGACCTGATCTGTATGTTTTAAGATCAGTCTGACTATCCCAAGCAGTAGGTTACTGAGTGGAAGACCAGATAGGCTGTTGTTACCCTTGTCCACAAGAGAGGATGAATACCAGTTTTCATTAAGAGGTTTATCTTATGAACATTTTCTTTCAGTTTGTGACTGTCTTCTCATTTTTCTAACATGGTGCTTGAATGAGAAATTTTATTTATTGGCTGGTTTAAATGTGTTATTCAAAGATTTTGTTTTCATCCTATTATCCCCCTTTAGAAATGATTTTTTATGTTTTTAGTCCATTTAATTAGCTGAATACTGCCAGGTATGGTGGTGCATGCCTGCAATACCAGCAATCTTGGAGGCTGAGGCAAGAATATCATAAGTTTGAGATCAGCCTCGGCAATTTAGCAAAACTGTCTCAAAAAAAAAGGGGAGGCTGAGATATAGTTCTGTGGTAAAGCACAGAACTTTACAATAATGCGGGAACACAATAACTAGATAGTTCTTAGAATTTCCAATTGTCCAACTTACTTTCAAGTAAGTTGCAAAATTAGGTTTTTCTTCTTCATGTAGGATCAGTGCATTGGCCTAAATGAAAATGCTCATTATAATCTTGAAGAACTCACCCTCACAATAACTAAAAGAAATAAAAAGTATGTGTATAATGAGGATATGTGGCAACTAGAATGCTCAGAAACTGCTAAGTATAAATTAATTCAAGCACTTTGGAGTACTACTTGGCAGAATCAAATGAAGAGAAACACATGTACCTTATGATCTAACAATGCCATACCTACATATATATTCAAAGGAAATGCATGCATATGTGTGTTCACCAAAAGATATGGATAACATTCACAGCAGCACTATCCATAATAGGTTAAAAAAGTGGAAACTATTCAAATGACCATCAACAAAATAGACAAATTGTAGTATGTGCACACAGTTGCATACCAGACAGCAATAAGTATAAATGAAAAAACTACACACAAGATGAAAGCATCTTACAAATGAAGTGTTGAATGGAAGAAGGCAGATACTAAATAGTTCACAAATGTTATATTTCAATTAAATGTTTACTAATAGCGAAAAAAACATATATTCCCACCGGTGTGTTTTGGTTTAGCATGCATGAGACCCTGGGTTATATCCCTAGCATTAAAAAACAAAAACTTTTAATCACTGGTGAGTTCTGGGTGGAAGACTCTCCCCGAGACTTTCCTGTTGGTGATTCCCTAAAGATAGAGGGGGGAAAAGTGAAAGTAAGGTTGTATTTAGGACATAACAAACTGGTCTACTACAAATACATTCTTTTGAAGTCTAATGTTTCATATTTTAAAATCTTATGAGAATTCCCTTTTCTTTGGCTATGTGTAATAAAGAGAAATATTTCCCTCAAAAATACTTGAGAAAACCTAAATTTCAAGGAAAATGGACCACAGCAAACCTGTGGTTCCTGCTACTTCCAGCACACATCTCAGACTTCAGTTTAAAAAGAAACAGTGAAATGTAGATTAGTTCTGGTTCCTGGTTCATCTGAGATTCATACTCCAAATGTGACTCTGGGCAAGTGACCTAAATATTTTGTGCTTGTGTCCTCATTCATATAACTATTTCACAACTATCTTGAGTTAAATGAGATGAGGTAAATAAATTGAGTTCTTAGTACTGTTAAATCTTTTCTTTCTCTATCCTGTAAGCAGTATTGAAGTGGAAAAAAAGTCAACAAACTGTTTGCTGCAATATATATATTTTAATTCAAAGTGAATCAACAGTAATACACCATAAATTCTTATTTTTGACACTCACCAAAATAGTCACCTGGAAAACCCGCTTTTTGTGACAAAGTACAGAAGGCTTGGTCACATTTAAATCACTGAGAACTAGAGAGAAATACTATCGCAAACTGTAATAGACATTACATCCATAAAAATTTTCCCAGTCCTTATTGTAATATTGCACAGTGCAATTGCTACATGGCAAACTAGTGTAGCATAGAAGTCAAAGCAAAAACAAACAAATCAAAGAAAGAAAGCCACAAGTCTAAAATCGTTAAACAGTTAACAGTTCAAACTTGGTAATCAAATCTATATCATTGGGTTCATTAAAACAAATCTTCCTACACCTTGCAGTGTATGATTTAACTTTCACTTAACACAAACCAAGTTTAAAATTAGTAGTAGAAATTTAAAAGATGAAGTTTTTGCTAACATAGTAATGTTTAATTAAACACCCTGAAAGAAAAAAAAAACACTAAATATCAGGATATTTGATAAAAAATAATTTGCAAATTAAAATAGTATGCAAATATGCAACCTGGAAATCATGCAGTGTTTTATTTAAGAAAGCATTAAACCAAAGAAAACTGTTAAAAATGGTTTTAAATAGGGTATAAATCCAGATTCCTTGTCAATATGCTAAATTTAGACTTTAGCGGGATTTTGAAAAGTTTAAACACTTTAAAAAGCCCATGATTGCATTAAGAGCAGTGTAAGTTAACTGCGATATGCCTTTAACAATATTATTACTGTAGTATGAAAATGTCAACCTTTACCATTTAGTCAATTGTTAACAAGACTACCTTGGCCTTGGAACTTAAATAACAGAAGATACACCATTTCAGGGTAGCAAACACAGCCCTGAACAAAAAGAAAACTGCACTGGTTTTGTACCTGTGAGATATGATCAATCTTTTGCACTTGGTGTTTCTGAAACATCCGTTGCCAGCATTGATTCTTTTCTAAGAAGTGAGCAGATACCAGTAATCTGCTGGACCATATAAATAAAATTAGAAGGCTGTGGAGGGCAGCAAATTTACTTAAATAGTGACTCCATAAACATGTCATCTGTAAATAATCTTTTAAATTAATCTTAGTCTACTTCTTTTTAAGTGTATTATATATATATATATATTTCTATTTATATAAAATGCATAGAATTGATTACTAAAAACACTGAAACTTGTGGGGAAAATTAAGTCCTTCATTTTCAGTGTGACTAAAAATGTACTGCTGGTTTTTATTTTATGATCTAATACTGTAATTTTTAAAATCAATTTCAGGCACATTTATTTCATTGATGATTATTAAATAAAACACTGCTTGTATTAATGGAGTAAAGAAAAGTTTATCCATTATTAGTTTATCATCAATGCTGTCCTAGAGCTGTCCTAGTGGTATGCAATTCATTTATTAAACAAACGCTGTAAATCCAAAACATTTGGAGAGTTTTACACTCAAATGCTTCGTACTGTTTATTCCAGTAAATGTTATAAGATTATATTCCAGATTTTTAAGGAAAAAAAGTTAAGTCAAGCCTGCAAGATACAGCTTTCTCAAGTGTCTACAATGCCAGTATGAAAATAAAAAATTAAGTTACATTGATACACCCAAGTTTTTTATATGCAGTGATGAGCACAAACATTAATAGAGATAAAATACTGATGCAAATAACACACCCCAAAATAACATATGCAATTATTTTCCATCATTTACAATACAGTAGTTACAATGACACTTCAAACAGAAAAGCAAAGTAAAAAAATCAAAACCCCAACTTCTATTTCATGTAATTAGACTTATACAGAAATTAGAAGGCTAAATAACAACTAGTTAATCACCTAATTTCACAGCTATCTGAAGTGGCAATCGTTATATAGCAGCTTATCTATGATACATTCAAGATAAATGATACAATTTATTACTTGTCTGTAAGCTAAAACACAGCCTCAGTTTAATACCTTTCCTTAAATTCCACCTCTACATTACAATATACTTGAGGTCTATGCAAAAAGTAGCTACCTTTTATATAGGAAATGGATGATTAAGTCTTTGGTGCTGTAAAAGCAACTTCATTTAAACATCACCACCATCACCACCAAGGGGGAAAAGGGGGGGAGGGGACCCAAGACACACTTCCTAGGAAAAAAAGCATGTAATTTCTGTCCCTGACGGAATGTATTAAATAAGCAACACCACCAACAAGCAAAACAAGTACTACAATGTAAAAATACTATAAAAAAAACCCCAAAAAAACCAAAAACCCTCTCACATGCATAAATGAAAAATTGCACACAAAGAACTCACATCTTTTCAAGCTTCAATAGTAAATATTCTGCTACTATTTATTAAATACTGCATGGTTTGCCCAAGCTAAGATGAAACCACATCATGAATCAATGAGCATTTTGCATTTTCTTTCATTATCTACTCAATGTCATGCCTACTGCACCTCTAAACATTTTATTAAGTCCAATTATACAGCAAACACTTCCAAAATAAACTTAGATTGTATTGCAGTTTCACTTAACAGTATATAAAATGCTGTGCTGTGACAGTTATCAACTATCCATTAGATACTGTATCAATTTTTCTTAAGCACTACTAACTGCTTGCTTTTCTTGAAGCTAGATCATTCTGAAAAATCAGACAGCAGAATTCAGCTATAGCAAACATGCTGCCCTCTGAATACGGAAAAAACAGCTACTATCTGAAATCATACCACACAAAACCAAAAATGAACACTACTCTATCAAAAGAAAACTAAAGAGTAGGTCTGAATTTTAAGTGCTGCAGTCCTCAACATTTATAGATAGGTAATAACATTAACAACCTCAAATATTTAAGGCACTATGTGTGGGAACGGTTTACAATGCAGCTGAGATTATTAGAACAACATTAAGAGCAAAGTCTAGGCAACATTTTGCCCATGCAAAAGACACATGCAAATGTAAAGAACAATAGCTCAATTTCTCAGGTTAAGTGACCCAACATTTATACACTAAGACACAGATAATACAATTCACTTGTATGCTGTAATTCTGACATATGTGCATCTGTTGCTCTAAGTCTGTACACAGAATGGCTTCCCAAATGTGGACGTGTCTTGCACTAGTTAGAAGGCAATTTTATAAAAAATAGCAGGAGCAAAACTGGACTTCTGCTCCCATAAGTCACCTGTCTAGAGTTACTACATAAGAAGATAACATGACCAAAGACAAGTTATACCAAATGTGCAAAACACATTAAAAGTGAGATTTTTAAAGCTCAAAGTTGTTTAAATTGCACCCAAGTCTACATGATTCAAAAATAATTTTCTTGTGCCATGGCTAATTTTTATTAAATACCATGTTTTTATTTTTAATCATATGTTTGTATCATTGAGCTTCCTCAATATACTTTTTTTTTTTTTTCACATATATGGATACTGGCTGAGTTTTGTTGGACTCAATGGAAATCCAGTATATGCAGGTGATGCTGCAATGTAAGAATGTGGTGGGAAGATTGGTTTGTATTGAGTCTGATGAATGGTTGGGGATGGTAACAGACGGGGATTTATGCCCACTGGGACTTGGTGAACTATGCCACTGGGATGGGAGATATTATAAGTTGGATGCTGTAACATAGGTCTTGAGGTACATGGAGAGGCTAAGAGGTGGGCCACTGGTGCAGCACTACTGAGGGTAGCTGATGATGGGTATGGAAGCAGAGTAGGCTGTCCTCCAAGGTGCGTATTTCCAGCCAGGTGGGCATGTACTGCTGTATGGTTAGGACTTCCATGAGAAAGAGTGAATGGATTACTGGTAACACTAGTAGGGATATAAGCTTGCTGTCTTCGATGCCCAAAATTTCCATTCCACTCTTGATGCCCAGATCCAAAGTGTTGAACCTAACACAAAGAAAAAAAATGATTAATAACATATTTTAGGGGCTGGAGTTGTAGCTCAGTGGTAGAAAGCTTGCCTAGCACATGGGTTCAATCCTCAGCACCACATAAAAATAAAGGTATTGTGTCCATCTACAACTGAAAAAAAAAAGTATTTTAAAAAACAAAAGCTTTAAAAAAAACTTATAAGATCAAAGGACAGAAAGAAGGAACTGTGACTAATTAGTCAATAGTAGATTGCTCAGAACGTTAGCTTACATTAATATAAGCAAAAGAGAGAAAAACACCAATGAGATACATACACATGCGTTGTAATATTTATTACTACATATTATTACAGTATTAACCCTGCCCCTACCACTGCTAGTACTATTACTGCCCCTAGCACTACTAACAGATATCATTGGAGTACTTACTATATATAAAATTAACATTTTATTAAACTCCAGAACAATCCCATGATATAACTATTACTTCCCATTAACTGTGGTTCTGATTTGTTGAAGAGACCTGGCCAAGGTAATATATACAGTGTGTGGCACAACTAATATTTGAACCCAGGTCCAACTCCCAATATTTGTGATTTTTTTCTCTTCCCAACTAAAACACAACTGCCAAGCAGAGTGTCCAAGAGATGGGAAAACCCCAAAGGTCAGATGATCATCTCTACTAACACATAAAAAATATAGCTATGAATCTATGTGCATATGTTCTGATTTTAAAGAGTTAGAGACAACAAATAGTAAAACTTTGTCTAAGAGGGCTACAGATATAGTTCAGTGATAGAATGCTTGCCTAGCATGTTCAATCCCCAGCATTCCTCCCCACTCCAAATTTGACTGAAAACTTAACCGTATTAAAAGAAGAATATAAATTCTATGGATAATTCTATTTATCATCCTAGTAAGCAGGTTACACTTTAGTCACTTGGGTAATGAAAAGGGGAAAATTTATTAAGACTGCTTACAGTTTCAGACTCCTTGTTCCTCTAAGGATGGAGGGGGGACACCTCTAAACTTGAATACTAAACACCTTTACATATTCATATATAAACTTACTTGGCTGAAGTTCAAATGCTGCTGCTGGAATGCTGATGTCAATTTTTGCTGACGATTACCCACTGCGGAAGGCTGGTTTAATCTTCCAGGGGCAGATCGTCCTTTTATTAATGGCTGGCATGTAGAATCTGGCAACAAACAAAATATGAGAGTTGGTCCTTTTTCCTCCCCTAATAAAAATTAGAAAAGTCTTTACGTATTTTGTACAATAGTGCCTTAAGAATCTTAAAATTAAATAAAAAGAAAAGAGAGCTGGGTGTGGTGGCACATGCTTACATTTCAGCAACTCAGGAGGCTGAGGCAGGCAGGAAACAAATTCAAAGCCAGCCTCAGCAATCAGTGAGACCCTGTATCAAAATAAAAACTAAAAAGGGCTGAGGATGTGGTAGAGCAGCCCTGGGTTTAATCCCCAGTACCAAAAAAAAAAAAAAAAAAAAAAAATAGAATAAAATAAAATTATTAAATTTTTAAAAATTAAGTAAAGGAGCTTATGGTTTCTAAGCACTAGATGATATCAGAAGAGATCTCCTCCATACAATACACAGGGCAAGAAGAAGGCAGAAATACAGAGATAACTTTTGGCAGTCGTATTTTCTGATATTCCTAATAAATTAAGACCTTTTAAGGACAATAAGAGGGCTGTGGCTGTAGCTTAGTGGTAGAGCGCTTGCTTCGTATGCATGAAGTACTGGGTTCAATCCTCAGCACCACATAAAAATAAATAAATAAAATACAGATATTGTGTCCATCTACAACTAAAAAGATAATTTTAAAGAAAAGACAATAAGAGAAACAGGAGGACTCAGTTTACCTGTGTTTGCCATATGCTCATCGGCATTTAATCCATTTTCTATTGCCATTGGTGGCACCACAACAGTACAAACAGCTGGCTTGGTTTCTATGTCAGCAGAAGTTGCCATGTCTGTGTTTTGATGAGTGTCTTCCACAAAACTGCTCTCTGCAAATGGACTGTCATGCCCTGAAGAGTCTGATGTTGGAGAGCCATCAACAGTATCACAACCACTTTCTTGTTCTTCATCTGACATACTACAAGAAAGCAGTTTTATAAGTAATATTTTTAACATTAAATCTGATATTGTGGGGTTGGGGCTGTGGCTCAGCAGTAGAGTGCTCGCCTAGCATGTGCAAGGCGCTGGGTTCGATCCTCAGCACCACATAAAAATAAATAAATAAATAATAGATAGATAGATAGATAGATAGATAGATCTGATATTGAGTAATATCCAGGCTCCAGTAAACTTAAAAGACTCTTACTCAGCTATTTTACATAATTATTCATTTTTCCTTTACCAACATATCATGTTTTCAAAGAATTCTAGACCCTAAAACTCATTCTCTATTCAATCGTTAAACCCAATTCCATCCTGTTTTAGAAAAATCCTTTCAGTACTGTATTTTTTCTCTTTTCCCCTTCCCACTTGATCCTTAGTGGTACTTCATAAAATTCTCCTTTATAAATTCTACATAATTTCATCTAGACAGAAGTATTGTTCTGGATAATTTAAATGAAATGTACAAACACACTAGCATATGACTGGGATATTTCAGACATATGCCTTTTCAAAAGTCTTCCGGACTCTTCCAGGCAGAGTCTCAAATTTCTTCTACTGTTGATTGTTGATTGTTCTCAGGCTCCGACAAGATCTCACTGTTTAGAGTTTCTACATTACTGTTTGTTTTAATCACTAATTTCATACAATTTGAAGCATCTCTTTTTATATGTACATTTTATTTTCCTTTTTATCTTGTATGCATATTTATGTGTATATGCATAATTTATGTGTGTATATTAATATATAAGCTGAACACATCAATTTCCAAACCACATTATAAGTAATTTATAAGAAGAGAATATATTAAAAAGACTTTATAACTTCCACAGAGCTTTGCCTATTAGTATTTAATGCCATGTTTCCTGACTAAGGAAAAAGAGAAGTGTTCAAAATTAACTCTTAAAATTTTTTAAAGTATTATTGTTGACAAAAAAAATTCTAAAAACTGAAATCCAATGTATTTCATGAAAGTTCTTGTGGCTTATCTATTAAGATGTTAACAGATCATGCTGGTTATGAGAAGCTTACTGTCTTAGCGGCAGTACATGTCCCCAGCTAAAAAGAGGTCTAGAAAAGGAAATATGGACAAAACCATGCAAACACATCATCAATGATTTAAAAAAAAAAAAATCACAGTGGCTGCTCTACAGATAGTGGGTCAGTCAGTAATTCATTACACAAAATATTCTTTTTTTAATTTTGTTCCAACAAATGTTTTTATTCAGAATTTATCACATAGTAGTCTCTGGAGCTCAAGTTGAAAAAGTGGACTTTTTTTTTTTAACCCTTTCGAAAACAGATTATTCTTTAAAAATTATTTCATAGAAATTTCAATTTTTCATTTGGAATTGTTCTATAATAATGAAAAAAAAATTCTACTAAAAACCTGAATCCACAAAAAAGTGATCTAGTTTAAAAAATCATGTTTAAGAGAGAATTCACTGTGGTAAATTGACAGATACTTATTAACTTACACAACAACAAAATAAATTATAGGCTTTTAGTAGATTTAATATTTATTACATACTATTATTGAAATTCTCTTACCTGTTCGGTCTCTTGCAAGGGGATGGGCTGGACTGCCCTGAGGAGCTGGTGCTCAGAGTACTATCAGGACTACTTAATGAACACATCCGATCAATATTCAAAGTGCTCTGGCAAGCTTCACAATCTAGATTACCTTTACATCTAGTGGAAGAGGGAAGGGGAAAATATGGGTAAAAAATGAGAAGATACTCTCAAAGTAACCAGAATTTACATTTTTAATTTAAGGATGGGAAATGTTAAGAATGAGCTACATGGACTAAAATTTAAAGCTTAAAAATACAACAGTAATCACAACAAATTTGATGTAGCATATCCACTTTGACTAGAACCAGATTATCTCATCTGAAGGTTTTACTCCAAACTAACAAGGTTGTCACAGGTATTTTTCAGCACTCCAGGGGCACCACCACCATTCTTTAAGGATGCCGAGTTGGGCACTTACTCTCTGAGCGAATGTCTTGGTGAAGTCTCTTCCTCATCAGTGTCACTGCTGATAGTGATCACACTCACTGCAGGACTCGGGGAATCGGCGATGATGATGGTTTGCCGTTGCTTTTCTGAAACCGATGAATCAGAGTCCTGTCTGACAGACGCTTCACAGCAATCTCTTGCCTCTACTTCTGAGTTATGATTGTCCTGTGTTTCTACACAACTTACTTCCTCAACATCTTTTCCATTTATTATCTTTGGAGAAATAAATGCTGAATGTGGGATACTGGTATTCTGCAATGAATTACTCCTGCAACCAAAGGAATAATTTGTAATTTCTATAAACAAAATATGGAAATGACATTTCTCTAATATATCTGTTGAACTGAACAATGCAAACCTTCACTTGTTCAAGTGTGTGTACATAATGCACTGACATATCAGGAGTTTTTGTGAAATATAGAATATTTCTAAAAATATTAGTGTAGATTGCATTTATATACATTTAAGTGGCCATATTTGGTAAATGTTATATCTGAATGTCTACAATTGCTACGTTATAGGTAGATAATAAATCAAAAGGGCAAGAAAGACAATCTTACCAACAGAAAGCATTTATTTCCTCTCTTCCTGGCTCCCATTCCATTAGTTTTACCAAAATACCTCTGAGAAATTGAGAAGGGAGCTCGCTTAGTGTTTGTAACAAAGCTATCAAAGAGGTCATTTTGAATACAACAGAGTGACCCTTTAGTGTACATGCAAAATTCATTTTAAAGATTAAATCTCAAAATGCAAGAAAAGTTGAAGTACCAATACCCACCTGTTCTGACACAGTTTATTTTTCTTGGTAGTGGCAGGCTGCGGCCAGACTACATGTGCAATGCCCACACTAATTGGCTGAGGGGCTGATAAAGTTATCTGATTTGTTAGAAGAGGCTGTGGCATCACTGAGTTGTAATGATTGCTGTGTGAAATCATTTTCCTAAAGAAAAAGTTCAGAAAAATTAAATCTCTTCTTTATAGAGATCTATTTTTTTCAGACTATTCACAAATCTCTTGTTTTGAACTTACCCCCAGTCTCCAAGCCTTTGTGAAGCAGCCACACCCTCAGAAGTTAGTGTAGCAGTAGCAGGAGCCATGGGTGTTACCTGCTGCCAGGCAGGTACCAGCATCTGCTGTGTTCTACCAGACCATGTCTGCTGTGTCAAAACAGAACCACCAAACAAATGCCTCTGAGTTATAGGTCATACAACTCAAACTCAAAATGTATTAAAGTCACAAATAACAATTATAAAAGTTAAAGGCAACAAATATCCTACAAAAAGGATTGAAAGTGACCGACCCAACAGCACAGGCTGATAATAAAACAAATACATCAGTGCCTTTATTTATATGTCAAGAGGACAGCTCACGTGCAAAAACTTAATGAATTATGACCAACCTGAGAGAGAACTCCTGGTCGGATCTGTAGAGGCTGCACAGCTGGGGCCTGAGTTACAAGTGGAACTGTATTGTCCACCCTTATTGAATAACTGGTGGGTTTACCATGTGCTGCAGGAATACCTGTGAAACGATTCAGTAAGAGAAAAAAAAATTTCCTCTGATTTAATTTATAAAATCATTCTAAATGTAAAGAAATAAAGTCTAGGTTTATAAAACCATTCCCTATGCAAAACTTTCATAACTCCAGTAAAGAAATGTACTTTCTATCTACTTTGTATTACATCAGTCCAAAAACTGTTATAAAATTATCTGGCCTCAGCCTGCCACTACCAAAAGAAAAACTCCTTGTTTTATGAATGCTACACAGAGTTGAGTCATTTATTTTTCTTGAAATTTCCATTTCCCTTTGAAGTTTGCTATTGTAGTTTATTTTCTTTTCAGATCGTTCTCCCACTGTAATGAAGGCCCTAGAAAGGTAAAGGCACTTGACATCCTGATACCCTGGCAAGTAAATGTTCTTATCATACAAACTTTTAACTATGAAGCTGTGGCAGGATCTGACATACTTGACAACAAAAGGGGGATATAGTGCATTTCACAATTCAATGGACAAGATGGTTTGTGAAGGGGATGGAAATTCCAGAGATTTCCAAATTTCTGAATGGCATATACATTAAGGAAAAGCAAAATAATAACAATAATAATAATAATAATAATTTATTCTGCCTAATTTGATGACATAACAAAGCTTTGCCCAATATGGCTTAAAGGACAAGTGCTCTAGTCCTCGAGAGCTGCTGGAACTCCAGAACAAATATGTTTCCCATTTAACAAACAGATCTACCTAATTATCCATGTGGAAAATTAAAAGTAGGCTTGCCAGCAATGTTAATCCCATTAATGTTAGTATTTCTGTTCAATGTATTGCAAAGTGCCTTCCAAATATTGTCTTACACAACTTAACTTTGAGACAAGAAAATATAAGCATGATACCCCAACTGAGAGCTTTAACTAACAAGATTCTAGGGACATCATCCAGGGTCAAAAAACAATTAACTAGAATAAATTAACTACATAATTCCAGACTACTGTAGTAGTCACTTCCAATACCTTGCAAGAAATGTGTTGTTAGGCAATTTCACACAACTGTGTGAACAACATAGCATTGTACTACTAAATGAAGATGACTACCAAATCTCCTGGCAATGTAATCTCCTGCTCACCCCCCACCTACCACCGCAGTACTGGGGACTAAACCCAGGGCCTTGTGCCTGCTAAGTAAGCACTCTACCACTGAGCTACATCCCCAACCCCAGACAACATGACCTTAAGGAACCACTGTCAAATATGCAGCCCTTCAATGACTGAAGTATGTAGCGCATGGCTTAAAAATATTGTAGGTTTTTGAATAAAGGTGATGTTGGCTGTTTTTTCAGTCATAAAAGAAAAATATAATTGTTTTCTTTTCCTACTGAAAAACAATCTTACTTTTTTTTTTTGCACAAATATAAGTGCTAATCCTAAGGTGACTTTTATCTTACTGCCAGTGTATTCTACTTTCTCCCTCCACCTAAAAAGCTAGGTATGGATTAAGTTTTACAAAAGTCTAGACATTTCTTTTTCCTAACTGATTTTCTTGCCCCTTCCAAAACGTATGCCTTGATAAGAAAATTCTCTAAGAAATGGAATATAAGCACACAAGCAGTGAAATTATACCAGGGCAACAGATAATTTCTTCAAGGAAAGAAAAAAAGCATAATTCACTTTGATAAGGAGGAAACTCCCAAACCCAAACAATAATCAAATTGCCCTTAAGTTCTCTTTATTAACAACGCCTGAAGTAAGAATTCCCTTATATCTTCTCTCTTCAATAGCAATGGATTAGAATCCCAACTTTTTTGACAGTTATTAAATTAGCTTAAACTTGGGTCTTTGATTAGATTTGCTTTAATGATTAGAGAAGTGGGACATAAAGATTGTTTTACAGAGGAGAATCTTGCTGGAATGCATCTCACTCTAAAATGGTAGGTTTCATTCAGAGGGGAGGAATGGCTAAACTTTTCAGGTTACTAAATAATTTTAAATGCTTGTTTCATACATATAACTTATACTCAGATTTGTTAAATAAAAGTTTGACTAAGTCTTCTACACTAAAGTACTTTTGGGGGAGGGGGTTTCTGGGGATGAACCCAGGGCCTTATGCATGCTAGGCAAACACTCTACCAGCTGAGCTACATCCCCAGTCCTATTAAAGTATTTTTTAATAAGCACAATCTTACAGAATCTATGTACAAATATCTATATATTATATTAATAACATAAATACATTACCTATACACCATGGCCCCAGTGTAAAATAAAAAATTTAAGTCAAAGAGATAGGCATAAAATTTATTTCAAAACACAGTCTAGGATCACACCAAAATTACTACTCCACAACTGCACAGTAATTACTTTTAAATGTTTCTTACAGATAGACTGGCACATCATGAAGGGGAGGGGTAAGAAATCCAATACTGAGATTTTCTATAGTGATGCTGAGTTGGGGAAATTGTCTACTTCTAAGACAGATTGTCTACTTCTAAACCACTCATATACTTGCTACCATATGTACAGAAGAGTTACTTTTTTTAATCAATTATACACCATATAGTTAAAGGATTTATTTAACCTTATTGAAATGTTTTAAGACTGTTGCTCAACCCTGTTTAGAAATGTATCTGATAAGTCTCTTTTTTTATACATAAAAAATAAGCTCTGAAGAAGAAAAAAAAAAAACTGCTACTCCAAATCTTCATGGAATACACCACAGTGTGGGGTGAGTGACCCTCCAACTGCCTCTGGTTCATGGGAGAGATTATCAGAACCAAAAAACCTATTTGTTAACATAGATTATAAACTCACCTAAGAGAAAAACCAGAACGTCTACCACACTCACTTTCAGATGATATATATACATATTGATTAATTACGCAAATATAGTAAAATATTAATGCTTGTTGAATCTAAAATAGAAGACATTATTTTTTTCATTTTCTATGTATTTGAAATTCTTACAGTAAACAGTTGGAGAAAAACACACACAACAGCATCTTTAAAGAGGGCTAACAACTTGATAATGTGGGCAATTTTATTACTAGAGATAGCCATTGGTCACTGCCACAGATACTCAAGGCCACCACTAGATCACAATTTCATCTTGAGAATTAACCATTTGTCATTTTTTAAAAATGCTTTCAGTTACACAACCTTCCAACTGAGACCTTATATCCCATATGATCACACAACTCAAATTGACATGTAGGTCAATGAAAGACCACATATACTATAATGTTCCCTTAAGATTATTGCCTAGGGACATGGAAGCCATTTTAGTTTGTGTAAGGATGCTCTATGATGGACATAATGACAAAATCACTTAACAGCACATTTCTCAGAGTGTATTCCTATTGTTAAGCAAAGCATGCACACATATTAAAGAGCTGAGAAGAAAGCTACCAAGTAGAACAGTAGTTAAAGATTTGACTTGTTTTCACATGTTAATACAACCGAGTCAACAAACATGTTCTTGGTACTTTGTTAGGTCATATGCGATATACCAAAATTTCTCAGAAGTTGCTCAAATGCTTAAGTGAAATTTAAAAATTCAAAAAACTTCAAATCCAGACTCCTGAGTTGCTGGGACTAAAGGCATGTACCACCATGCCTAGCAAAGTACAATTTAAATGACAGAATACCTTGAATAGCTGGGGGACAGATAATCAGTGTCTGCTGAAAAGCATCACCACAACCAAACTGTGCAGTTCCCGCCTGCAGGGGTATCCCGTGGTGTACAACAGAGTGAGCAGACGTGGTTAATGCCTGTAACAACAATGCACAGCACATTACACACAGCAGTGTTCCAACTGCCACACACATTCCTGAAAATCTTAATTCTACAATAAAAATTGACCCAGAACATGAAAAGAAAAACAAATTGACCCAACTAAATTAAATTTAAAAATTGATTTGTTGAACTCTACTTTTGGCAGTTGTGACATAGAAGAGCAAGTAGAAGATATGGAGAGAATGAAAGAGGAAAGTAAAAAAATGAATTTGAATAGATTTGTTCCAATCGTTAGCTTGAAATTTCGGATTTAATAGAAAAGCTATACCATGTCCTCCCAGCACTATAATTTCACATGCCAACAAGAAACTTTTGTCTACCTCAAAAGCAAAATGAATACTCATAAAAATTTTTTAAGAGTATAATTATTAATTACCACAAGTTCTTACCTGACTTCTTAATGTTCCAATTTTAGTAAAATTTGCTGTCAGAGTAGCAGTGCCACTTGAAGCAACTTGTCTTAAAAGTGAAGTTTTGTTGTGATGATTTGGGTCACATGAATTTGGGTGGGACTTACAAATATCCATAATATGAAAACAGGACTTCACACTGCAAATGAAAAAGTTAAAGATGTTACATTATTTTAAGTGCTTATAGTAGTTTAAAATTATTGCATATTAACAAAAAAATTTAGAAAATAAAATTCTGATTTGCATTTAATCTACCTATTTCCAATATTCATCTTACTAGGATATCCTATGAGGAAAAAAATGAATTTAAAAGCAAGGAAAAGTATTATTATTACCTGCAACATTTTAAGACAAAAAAGCAATAGTGGGGGGCTGAGGTTATGGCTCAGAGGTAAAGCACTCGCCTAGCATTCGAGAAGCACTGGGTTCAAGCCTCAGCACCACATGAAAATAAAATAAAGATATTGTGTCCACCTATAACTAAAAAATAAATATTTTTTTAAAAAATCTAGTGGGTATTTTGTAGATAGCATACAACATTTTTGACCCTTATCCTAAATGTTTTTTCCTAAGTTTCTGTTTCTCCAGACTAATGAGTTAAATTTATCAACTATGTAGTTACAATGTTATTTTCACAGTGGGAATCAATAGGACATGCTGAAGTATTTGGGGTAAGTAATGGGGCTTCATGAAAATATCAATTTTAAGGACAATTCATAATAATAAATAGTGATTTATTCCTATGCCTTCTTTGTTAAGTCATCTTAAAATAGTAAATGAAGCTGGTTTATATTATTTACTTTATTCCCCTCCCTTAAAAAGGAGGTCTAGGACTCATAAAAATTTGTAAGATTTGCCTAAGGAAACTCTGATAAGACCTTCAGATTTTGAGCATATATTATTATAATCTATCAAAAAACTCTTTTTCTCTTCCAGAATGCAGCGGAGCAAAGGTATGAAGGGAATGGAAAATGGAGTTTGAAGGACACGAAAGAACACAGGATCTAAGGTCTGTAAAAACTGAAATGTGTCTTGGTAGAGAAAACTGATAATATTTCCTTTTACATATCACAGGTTACTGAGGTAAAAATGCCATGTAAAACCAAAACCACTTGCTCTTATTTTCAGTATGGTTCTTTTGGAGAAAGAACATTGAACTGCAATTCAAATTTGTTCTATTTCTACTCTGCCATTTACTGATCTACATAAACTTGACCAACTTATCTATTTCTTTTAACTCAGTTTACATATATGTAATGAAGAAGAATCATTTTTTAACACATTGATTTTCTAGAGATCTATATTATTTTTCAAGAACCAATACAAAACATTATAAGCAGACATACTGGTTGCTATGAGGAAAATCTAAAAGATGTTTCATATTAACAAAAGGATGGTTCAGCGTCTCAACTGGAGTAATTCTTAAATCTGCATCAATCAGCAACATTTTCTTCAATAGGCTAACAAATTCTCTTCTATCCGCTTTCTCAGCCAAAAGATCACTTCCTTCCAAATCCATCACTGTGTTCACCTATGAAATCAAAATTTCAAAACATCAAATAAAAATAAGTCATAGAGGGTAGGAGATTTAAAACATTATAGCTTTATAAAAATATATTTAAAAAATAGGAAACTACAATGATTTTGAAATAAATAAAAACAATTAAAATTAACAAATCCTCAAAGTATTTCGAGGTACCAAACAAAATTCAAAGCAGAGGAAAAGCAAATAACCATTTCTAATGTAGGAAAACCAAGTCTGCTTGCTAGGATTTTTCCTTTTGAAGAAAATACTTTCTACTAAGTAATAAGATAGCTAAACTAAAAATTTGATAAAGACATGCAATTTAGCTTCTGAAAGTTTGAAAATTTAGAATCAATTTCATTTGAAAAACATAAATACAGCAATTACTCTACAGTCATTTAGAAAATGAGTAACATGCCGGAGATAGTAGTATACTCCTGTAATCCTAGAGGCTCGAAGGCTAAGATCACTAGGAGGATCACAAGTTCAAGGCCAGCTTTGGCAATTTAGCAAGGCCCTAAGCAACTTAACAAGACCCTATCTCAAAATAAAAAAGAAAAAGGGCTGGGGATGTGGCTCAGTGGCCAAGTGCAATTTCCCAGTATCAAGAAAAAAAGAAATGATTAACATATTTTGGCACCTAAGGCATTCAAGACTACTATCTTAAGCTTAGAAGATTAACAAATGTAACTGTGGTACTCACATGCGCAATATCATCCAGACTGTTGAATATGTACTTTCTGGCTTCTTTAGACTTCATTCCTGTCTCAGCTTCATGTTCTTCCAGTGTCTTATTACATATATCAAAGAGAACAATAATATATTAGTAGCCACCATTTGCAAATTTCTATCTCTTTAATCCTGGCACATTTAGTCTAATTTATTGAGCATTCTAAGGCAAGTGACATTTTCAAAAGAGCGACAATCAAAAATATAATTTTTAAAAGCACAAAAAAGTTAAAAAAAAAAGCGCCTTGCTTTAAGCAAAGAAAAATATTACATATATAACAACTCCTTTTAAACAAAAACTATTTATAAAGTTAGTCATTGAGAATTCACTGATTCCACCAAAGACTCTAGCAATAGAATCTTTGAGATAGGCAGTAAGTGGTTAGATTCAGTTCTTAGATTCAGTTACCATCCTATAAAGCTTAATAATATAGAACTGATTAGACAAGCACACAATACAAATGTAGTTATGCATATAATAGTTAAAAAATCATTAAGAGCCAGGTTCAGTGGCAAATATCTATAATCCCAGCAACTTAAGAGACTGAGGCAGGAAGACAGCAAGTTTGAAGCCAGCCTGTGCAACTTAATGAGACAGTGTCTCAAAAGATAAATAAATAAAAAGGGGAGCAGGGGTTGTGGCTCAGTGGTAGAGCGCTTGCCTTACATGTGTGAGGCACTGGATTCAATCCTCAGCACCACATATAAATAAATAAAGATATTGTGCCCATCTACAACTAAAAAAAAAATTTTTTTAAGGGCTAGGGGTATATATCAGTGGAAAAGTTCAATTTCCAGTACCACACCAATCAATAAATAAATAAATAAAAATTAAAGGTGAGTTAATTACACTGTTAGGTTAGAAAATGAGCTATTATTCTGAGAGAACTTCCTTCTTAAAGGATTTTTAAAAGTTCAAAAGGATAGAATGTAGTAAAATAAAAACAGGCATAGAAGAGATTACCTGTGCAAGAAGCAATTTAGAAAACTGTTTTTCTAAATATTATTTTTTAATGAATTACCTTTAATCTCCAACCAGAATGAGACATATCTGTTTCTCTGCAAAAAAATCTTGTGGACTTCGTACCCACATTTAACAACTGTTCTCCTGGTAAACCTTGAGTCTGAGAAATGTATCGAATCTGAAAAATCATTTAAAAAAATACAGTTAAATTCTTTCATGCAATAGATGTTATTTGAACACTTACCTTAGCCACTATGCTAGATGTTGGGTCAGACATGAAAAGGTATCATCTGTGCCCTCAATAAATTAATAGTCTAGTGGGAAATATGGTACAGTATTTAAAGTACCATAATAAATGTATGCTTCATGCAAAGACAAAAATGGCATACCTAAAATAATCTTATAGTCAAAGATCCTTGATAAAAACCCTGTACTAAAATTACAATACACATAAATATGGAAAATCAAGAGAGAATACCTAAACATTCAAAGCCTGGAAGTACAGAGGTTCATTAAGGGAAAAATGGTTAAGAGATAAAACTGAACTAGCAGACAAAACCTTATCAACAAGAAGTTTCAATTTTGTTCTAGGAGGTGATAATGGAAAATCAATGGAGAAATTCAAGCAAGAAACTAACAACTTACTGTCCTGTGCCCCCTATCCCCTCCCCTCTATTAAGTACTAGGGATTGAACCTAGAGTCTCTCTACCACTGAACTACATTCCCAGTCCTTATTTAAATTTTTTTATTTTGAGACAGAATTCATTATGTTTCCCAGGCTGGCCTCAAATTTATGATCTTTCTGCTTCAGACTCCCAAATCATAACTTACATTTTTAAAGTAATGCCTAAGAATGGGTAAGGAGATAAGGCCGGAGGAGACCGACATACAGGGGCCTGAACTGAGAGACTGGATGGAGAGACAGTAAGTAGAGCATTCAAGAAATTCAGACTGAGAGACAAGATGTATTACTACTGAGGGAGTCTGGAGTCCCTGGCCTATGTGTAGTTGTTTCTATAAAGGAAGACACACAGTTATAGATAAGCTCTCCCAAGGAGCATACTAAAAACCTTCAGCCTCAGGGACTGGTTGTTCTGTTTGGAATACTTCTCCCAGTGTCCATATGGCTCTCTCACTTCCTTCAGGAATAGGCTCAAATGTCACCTTTATCCACAAGGCTTTCCAAGCCAATAAATAAAAGCAGGCTCTGCCCTTCTCAGCAGCCCCATCCTTCTGGACATATTTGTCTCCACTATGCTTTTTACCATCTGTTATCCTATACATTTACTTTCTACTTTTTTTACCCCATTCTCTATTAGAAACTAAGTTCCATGTAGGGAGGGACTCTGTTTATGTACATATATCCCAAACACCTATGACAGTGCCTGGTATACAGCAAGCCCTCAGATATTGGTTCTCTTACTCATGATTGGGAATATAGAATAAACAGAGGTTTAAAGGGAGAGAGATGCCAGGAATGGTGGTAATCCCAGCTACTCAGGAAGGTGAAGCATGAGGATTACAAGTTTGAGGCCATCCCGGACAACTTAGTGCAACCACTTCTCAAAAATTTAAAAAGGGCTTCGGATATAGTTCAGTGGTAGAGTACCCCTGAACTATAGAGAACTTCCTTCAATCAATCCCAGTAACTAAATAAGGAAAAAAAAAAAACATGGGCTATAGCTCCTTGCCTGGAATCAAAATCTAGGAATAGGACACCAGGAGAGGCTGAGGGATTTGAGAAACCAACACAAAGACTATGAAACCCATTCAAGTGACTGATAGGCTGACATCTGTCAGGTGAGACTAAAGTCCAAAAGATCACCAGGACCACAGAAGGGGGACAGAATAGAGCAGGGTTTGGTTAGGCCCTTTGACCTTTTTTTGTTGTTGTTTATTTATTTTATTTATTTATTTGTGATGCTGAGAATCAAACCCAGAGCTTCACACATGCTAGGCCACCATTGAGCCACAATCGCAGCCCCAGGCCCTTTGACTTTTAATCCTTCCCCCATATTGCCTTGGGAGCTCATGAGGTAGTATGGAGGTCCACTGTTAATAGCTTCTGGATTCAGACTTTCTATGTTCAATTCTTAGGCATAGGGAAGTATTTAACTTCCCCACAACCTAGTTTCCTCATTTATAAACAAGAGGTAATAGCATGTACCTTCTAGAGTTGTTAAGAGCATTAAATAAGTTCATGTGGGAGGGACAAGAATAGGAAAGATAGTAGAATGAATCAGATGTAACTTTCCTTTGTTCATATATGAATCTACCACCAGTGAAACTCTATATCATGTATAACCACAAGAATGGGATCCTAATTAGAATAAATTATACTTCATGTATGTACAATATATCAAAATACACTCTACTGTTATATATATCTAAAAAGAACAAATTTTTAAAAATTTTTAAAAAATGAGTTCATGTAAAGTATTAACAGTTCCTGGCACATAAAAAAAGAGTTCAGTAAGTAATCATCAGTAATATTACTATCACTCACTCAACTGCCACTGGAAGGCAAAAATAATAATCATAATTTTCTTTTTTTTAAGTACCAATATTGAGGCTGGGGTTATGGCTCAGCGGTACAGCACTTGTGCAGCACATGGGATGCACTGGGTTTGATACTCAGAGCCACATATAAATAAATAAAATAAAGGCCTATCAACAACTAAAATATATATTTTTAAAAAATACCAATATCCTGTTTTGAGGGTCCAAGTTTATCAAGGAAACTACTAAAATAGCAAACAGATAACAGAGAAAGGTATATGCCACTGATGCTCTTATCACATCCTAAATTAGAAAATCCAAATCTAAGGAGATGGGAAAGTCTATGAAAATCAAACACATTAAATAGTCTTAAAAACTTATGTGAGGGCTGGAAGTATAGCTTAGTGGTATAGGCCTAAATGTCATGCACAAAGCCCTGTATTCAATCCCAAGCACCACCAACAAAAAAGAAAAATAAATGTGAAAAAAAAAAAATCTGGTCAGGAATTGAACCTAGTGTCCTACACATACTAAGCAGGCATTCTACCACAGAGCTACAGTCCCTGCCCCTATAAACATGTTCATGGATGCAAAAAAGCATAACACTCCCAAACCAATGTAGGATTATTTTTTTAAAGAAAATTAAGGGTAGAGGAAAGTTCTCCTATCTTGAACTTAAACATTTAATTAGGCCTACTGAGCAAACATCTTACTTGAAAAAGAGTATAAAATCTAAGACTAACCACCAAAGCAAGGAGTCTAAACCTTCGCTACTATTCATTTACATTTATATTTTAGAAAATCACTTATTTTGAAACACTAAATTGAAAATTATTCAACTAATGATGTTATATTATTTTTTCAAACTCTTTAGAAGCAAAGTCACAAACATTCTGAAAATATTGTTAGTCTACATCAGATAACACCTGTTCCAGGTTTTGTTGGAGTTTTGTTGTGGTTGTTATTGTTGTTGTTTTTTTCTTTTCCTTTCTTTTGTTTAACCATCAATAATAGAATTTAGAAAACTTGGGTTTTGGTCATTGTGTTGTTTTTAAAATTAGCATTGTGACTTGACAAATCAATTTATTTTGTGGTACCTCCGTTTTCTCTCCTTTGAAAACCGGGAGGACAATGAATAGATAATCTCTGGGGTCCTTTTAAGTACTAACATAGGTAGTCCAAGAATAGATGTGTTAAGTCCAAATTGAGAGTATAATAACAAATCAACTTTGGAATTGCCACTAGATGGTGTCCTGTTCCAGAGTAAAAAGCATGCCACAGAGCCAAAAGTAGCGGTTGACTGGTTCCTCAGCACTTCCGAGGGATGATGGGACTTTTTGATGAGATTACCAACTCTTTCAGAGGTAGCAATAGTCTAACATCTGCATCAAAGTTAGAAGCTGGGTAAAAAGCTTGAGAGAGAGAGAGAGAGAATATGGAAAATTTTTTTTTAAAAAACTATTTTTTGGGCTAGGGATGTGGCTCAAGTGGTAGAGTGCTCGCCTGGCATGCGCGAGGCACTGGGTTCGATCCTCAGTACCACATAAAAATAAAAGATATTGTGTCCACCTAAAACTAAAAAAATAAATATTTAAAAAAAAGAAAAGAAACTGTCTTTTAAGAGGTATTCTACATATGGAGGAGGGAAGGCAGAGACTATAAAAAAACCTGACCTAAAAAAGAAGGTTCAAGGGCTGGGGATGTGGTCAAGTGCCTCTGAATTCAATCACCAGTACCCGCTCCCTCCCCCAAAAAAGAGAAGGTTCATGGGTTGAAAGTCACTGGAAGATGATAAAAGTCAATGCTAATATCTAATAAAACTACATTTATCAATACTAAATGATTTTTAAAGTCATCTCAGGAACATTCAAGTCACTCAAATTAATTATCTCTTATATATTCCATTTGGTATAGAAAACCAAGCCCTAAAAAACAGAATTAAAGAACAACATATTATGTGATTGTCATGTGCGCTTTTAAAATGTTCTATTTTCGGGCTGAGGTTGTGGCTCAGTGGTAGAAGGCTTGCCTAGCACGTGTGAGGCCCTGGGTTTGATTCTCAGCATCACATATAAATAAATAAAATAAACAAACGTATTGTGTCCACCTACAACTAAAAAATAAATATTAAAAAAAGTTCTATTTTCTATTTTTTTCTTGCTTAAAAGTTAAATATCATATCACCTAAATAAAAATTACTATTATCCAACATAAGCTTACTACCAAAAAAATTATATAACGACTTTGTTGAATTTGACTTACATTTCCCATTAAAAAGAGTTGACTCGTTTATCCAACATAAGCTTACTACCAAAAAAATTATATAACGACTTTGTTGAATTTGACTTACATTTCCCATTAAAAAGAGTTGACTCGATCTCCAGAATAAGGAAGACACAAAAAGAATAATGAATAATGGATAAGAGAGCAGTTTCTCCAAAAACAATCTTCATATTAAAAAATCAAAATGCTAGTAAATAACACTGTCTAGTAACCAATGAACATTCCTAAAAACTACTACGAAGGGGCTGGCATTGTGGCTCAGGGGTAGAGCACTTGCCTAGCATGTGTGAGGCACTGGGCTTGATTCTCAGCACCACATATAAATAAATGAATAAAATAAAGGTCCATCAATGTCTAAAAAAAATTTTTAAAAAAACTACCATGAAAAGTATGTTTCATGAGGTAATTTCGTGGATCCTACTTAGAATCTTTAAATAGTATTTAAAAAGACTTCTAGCATGATTAAAAAACAGCTGAAAAGATAGACAAGGGTTCAAGTAACTTACAGTACTTGATAGTCTATATAATGGCTGTTGGTTTAAAACCAAAAGTTATGATGCCTTTAGAAGTCTGTGTATTTGAGAGGAGCTCAGATTTCATATGCCAACAAAGTTTGTCATGAAAGTAAAACACAATTATTTAAATGAGCACAATCCAGACCTTATATAACTACAGTATAAAATGAGATGTAAAAGATTCTCTAAAGAATTCTAAAGAATTCTAGGGCTGAGGCTGTGGCTCAGCAGTAATGCACTTGCCTAGAATGTGTGAGGCACTGGGTTCGAGCCTCAGCACCACATATAAGTAAATTAAAAAAAAAATAAAGGTCCATTGACAACTAAAAAAAAAAAAGAATTCTAAAGAATTCTAAAACACCGGTTTGGGACCTGTGAATTGTAACTACTTTAAGAAATTTGACTTCAACATTACAAGAGAGTTTTGAAAATCAAGAATCAATGTTAAGATCTTGAACTTAAATTCTATAATAACAAGTTTTGCCAGTTAACAAAGATACTCATGTGATTTGTATACTTGAGTCCACATACCCTTCTAAGTCTATTATTATTCTTTCTTTCTACCAATTCAACTAGGTTACTATGATAGTTCTATTACCTGATCATACTCCAAGGCTCCCGGATAGAGCGGCCATCCGAGGAATAATTCTGCAATCACACATCCCAATGACCACATGTCTATGGCTTCACAAAATGGCAACCCCAATATTATCTCTGGAGCTCTGTGGAAGGGAAAAATCAGTCAGGGTGGTTTTCATTTAAGATTATCTGGTTTCATCTGATATTCTAAGAAATGTTATCAAATGGCAGAGGAATCATTTTCTACTTTGCTCTTTCATAACTCTTTGAAACACAACCATAATCCTGATTTAAGCTGAATAGGGCACCATTAGTACATCAATCACTGTGATAAAATCTCATGAATCTTTTACACTTGTACAGAGTTTTATTACCATAACACTTTAAAAATAAGAAAAAAAACAGATCTTGTTTTTCAGACTACAGAAGACTAGAAATAACACACAATAAAGAAAACTAGCAAACGATTAAATACATGCACCATGACATCAACACGACTAAAACCAGACAGTGAGAGATAAGAACAAAGGAAACAAAACAAAAAGCCCAAGACTAAAAGTGGATCTAGATCTAGGTACTACTTCAGAACACAATAATAATAAATGTTCACATGATTGGGGTCATTGGTCATCCACAAAACCATGTTCAATGTATTCTCCCCTGAAAAGTAGAAAAGTATTAGACAAAAAAATTAAAAGCATTTTATTACTTAAAGGACTTTGGTTAGAAGTTGGAAAATGTACTCCATGAAATATTATCATTCCCAGATAAATTTCGTAGCTACTTCATATGACTTTCCTGGGAGAAGCTTCATGTACTGCAATTGCAAAGGAAGTCACAAACATTACAGTTATCCTGGATTTGTTCATATGTGTATGTGTGTGCGTTTAATTTTAAAACAACCTTGAGAGGCTGGGGTTGTGGCTTAGTGGTAGAGCACTTGCAAGCCTAGTAAGTGTGAGGCACTGGGTTTGATTCTCAGTACCACATATAAATAAATAAAATAAAAGTCCATTGACAACTAAAAGAATATTAAAAAAAAATTGACATTACAGAGAAGTTGCGAGAATGGTAAACAAATATTTCCCCCAAAATCACCCGAGAATAATTTGCCACATTACTGGATGCTTTGTCTTTCCTACACACAAAAATATTCCCCTACATATCTGCAATTATAAACATCAAGAAAAGAACAATGATATATTGCTAACCATCTAAGTCTCAGAGCCCATTCAAGTTTGACCGATTATACTAAAAATGTCCTTTTTAGCAAGCAAAAGGATCCAACTCAGCATCAATTGTGCATTAACATTTAGCTGTCATATTCCTTTGAGATTTTTTTCAATATAGAATGTTTCCTCAGTGTTTCCTTGATTTCCATGACCTTGACATAAAATGTTACAGGCCTGTTACTTGTAGAAATGTCCTTGAATGTGGTCTTACTAGTGTACACTCATAGTTAGATTCAGGCTATAAATCTGTGAAAGAAATACCACAGAAATTTGTTTTCCCTTAAACTGTATCAAATGGCACACAATTTTGATATGTTCCATCATCTCTGGAATGCCCTCCAAAGTCTCACATGTTAAAAGTTTGACTCCTAGTACAGAAATGTTCAAAGGTAAAGCTCTTGGGAAATCAATGGATCATGAGGGGTCTAAACTCATCAATGGATTAATCCATTGAGGGATTCATGGCTGAATGGACTTAGAAGGTGGGAGGTGATGAAAACTGTAGGAGGTAAAATCTAATCGTTAAAGGGCATGAGTCACTGAAGTCCAAAATATAAATCCAAGGTACTTGGAAACTATACCTTGTCTCTGCTCCTTCCTCTATCCATCACTCCACTCTGCTTCTGGGCTACTATAAAGTGAACAGTCCTGCTCTACCATGCCCTCTTCACCATAATGTTCTACCTCACCACAGACCCACAGGAGTGGAGTCACCTGACTGTGAAACTAAACCTCTGAAACTATGAGCCAAAATAAATTTTTCCTTCTTTCAGTTTTTTTCCAGGTATTTTGTCACAGAGATGAAAAGGTAACAAAACACCTTCCATCACTAATAATTTTCACGGTGATCACTTAATTAACATGGTATCTGCTAGATTTATCCACTACTGAGTTCCTCCTTTTCTCTTTGTAATTAACTACTTATGGGGTTTCAGTTTGAAACTAACCCATTCCTTATGAAACTTTATATTTATTCATTTATTGACCTCCATGAGTACAGATTAATAGACTCCTGTTTCATTCAGTAGGTTATAATTCATTGATATAATTATTCCCAGATTTGACTGCTTAGAAGTCCTTTAAAGTTTTATATGATTTTTGACATGTCCCCACATTTTCTGATTATTTCTTTGCTTTCTGGCACAGCAAGATAGTCTAGGTTCATGTTGTTCTTTTCCTGTTAAGGCCCCAAAAGCCACCATTCTCTGAGGATACCCGGTATTTCTTTTAGTGGAGAATGATAAGTTCAAATGAAGATCAGAGAGCTATGGATTCTCATTACTATTAAGATGATTCTCAGGGCTCCCAGTATTAGAGAGAGAGAGAGAGAAAGAGAGAACACACATATATATAGGTACATATGTGTATATATACATAGTTTAGAAGAATAAACTGTTGATTTCTTAACTGAGACTTCTGGTTGTTATTATCTTCTAAGGCAATAATTTGTTTGGCTCAGTCAAGTGCTTGCCTAGTAAGTGTGAGGCACTGGGTTTGATTCTCAGCACTACATATAAATAAATTAAATAAAGATCCATTGACAACTAAAATGATATTTTTTTTAAAAAAATGTGGTCCCAGGGAACTGTTTTGTACTGATGATTGAACCCAGGAGCACTTTACCACTGAGGTAAGTCTTTTTTTATATATTTTATTTTGAAACTGGGTCTCACTACATTGATGAGGCTGGCCTCAAACTTTCAATCTCCTGCCTTGGCCTCCTGACTTGCTAGGATTACAGGTATCTGCTACTGCGCCTCTCATAAGACAATGATTCTCAAGCTTGGCTGCACATTATAATCATTTGGCCCTGGTTACACCCTACACCAATTAAATTAGATATCTTGGAGTAACAGGGTGTTTTCAACATACAGCAAACAAAATTACGAAGCAATGCCCTGCACTCAATAAATTAGGCCAATGGGAAGACCACCCTATTTTCTCCCTGTATCTTATATCAGAATAAATGAATTATTTTCTATTATAGATTTGGTATTTGCACAGCAAAGCTTGTATTCCTGGCTATCTGTGGCTATAATTAATGGTTAAGATTCGGCAGATCTTTAGTCAATCCAAAAGTATTTACTGAAAAACAAGAGCCATGGGGCAATGCTATGAAAGATCTTCAAAATATAATTATAAGAAGGTTTCATTCTTTTGACAAAATAAGTGGTTGTGCGGATGTATACACATGAATTGTAATCAGATGTAACTGAGTGTGCTAAACCATATTGTAGAAGAGAAAAAATAAGTTATACTAAACTATCAAGCCTATATATTCACAATATTATATAAAAGAAGCTAGAAAGAAACCTCATTTCTCAGTTTGCTATTGTAATACTCAGAACCTAACAAAGAAAATGCACTCAGCAAACATTTCTCAAATAAATCATTCCAACATAGTTTGAGGTACACAATGGAAGCATCATAGTGACATTAGGGTTTGAAGTAGGTCTTGAAGAACTCAAGTCTACAAAGAAAGAAAAAGAATTAGATATAAGAGTTTATTTGAAAACACATATCAACTTAGATTTTAAAAGATGCAAAGCAAAACAGCAGTTCCAAAAGGATGGCGTCAAGAAGAATTTACTACTGATTTTTAATCATGTAATAATCTGAATCCTAAAGAATTATTAAGACTAATAGGATGATCCCAATGTATATAAAAGCTTTATGGTTACTCTGAAACATGAAAAATTCTCCATAGGATTTAAAATTTGTTAATATAGAAATTTTCAATATTGCATTTGGCAATGAAAGAAAAGTAAGAGAATGATAGCACCTAGGATATGCAACTTAGAGAATAAGAAGTATGAATTCTGGTTAAGACTAAGAAAAAAGTTTCTGTCAATCAGACCAAAACTAGTGAATTCATTCTGCCATTTGATACCATCTAATGAATGAGCCAAGTTTCTGACAGTGATAAGAATACAGAAGTATCATTATATAATATTAAACAGGATTTGCATACAGCCACTTTAGCTATAAAAGTGATATAAAAGTTACATTCACAGAAGCAAACTCAGTTCCTTGTTTTAAAATGTGAGTGAATTTTAACTAGAACTGTTATACAAACGCATTATCTGTTATTTTATCAGTTCAGTTCCTCTGAGAAGCATATTCGATGTGCCAAAAATCTTGTTGAAAAGATTCCTACAAGGGATTTTGAGGGAGGAATTAAGAGTAGGTAATCAGAGCTCTCAGACCTTGAGGTCTGAAACCTCCAGAAGAAGAGAGGCCAAGAAAGAATTGAGTAAAGAGAACCTCCAACAGCAGTGCAGTGACAAGAAAGTAAGGTCAATGACGAGTCCCTAAGCAAAAAGGATCTGTTAGAGGAGACCTAGCTAACAAAAATAGCCCAGCTGTGGTAAACTAACCATGTGGTCATTGACTCAGAGGGCCTAGAGGAAGTGGGGCTCTTCACCTGAGTACCAAAGCCTGGTCAGCTGCTCCAGGCAGGAGGCTCTCAGGATGAAGGATCTGAGTGGCACATTCCATGGCTGCCATGACTAGCTTCCAAAAAAGTTTGTATTTTATAATATATATACATATCATAAACAAAAAACACAGTAAATTTCTCTGCCACTAATCATAGCATGCCATATATTTTCTACATATATCATAGGTTAAAAATTCAGAAATAATACTTTAAAACACTTCCATTCTAGATAACTGCCAGAGATTTGAGAGTTCTACAAGATAGTTTAACCACAGAAAATAAACTTTAGAGTGCAAGCCTAGCATGCGCAGGGCCCTGGGTTCAATCCTCAGCAGCACATAAAAATAAATGAATGGAATAAAGGTATAAAAAAAAAATTTTTTAAAGTGATCATAGCATAGTGATCACATAAGAAAGTGATAAGGGATTCTGAGTAGTAGGCCACTCTTAAAATAGATCTTCTTTTCTAATC